GATTGTTTGGTCTGCAGAGCCCCACGTTAAGTAATTCTGAGTTAAAAGGGTGAAAGTTATGTGGAAAGACTAGTTACTCTCAGACTTTTCCTTCAGAAACTTATTATTCAACGTCTAGACTTCGCTAGACGCACATCAACACGCTGTATGCGCGTCGACGCGCTATAATTCCAACAGCGCTCCACTTCCAGAAGCGAACGCGGACGTGCTCCGATCGGCGCCGGCCGCTTTCTTTGAGATATTATAACTTAGCAGGAGAACAGGCACTATTTCCACCCAGTCTGGACTCTTCTATACTCTCCAAAGCCCAAGCGGCCAGCGCTGATCGATACCACACTCGTGATTAGGCAGTGCGTACCCTTCTGCTCCCCTTACTCCAAACGAGCGGCGGGCGCCGATCGATTCCCGTCTGCGGTTGCGTTCGCGTCTACAGCACTGGAGCGTGGTTGCAATCACAGCGCGTCGACGTGCGTCATGAAGAATGAGGGAAATCATGATGCTTGGCTCGAATCCTGTGCCATCTGACTCGCGCTCAGCGTTTTTACGTAGTTGAATGATTTTAGCATAGTTTCCTCCTGAATGAAGCAAACCTCATACTCACATAATCATTACACTTGTATATGATCTGCAGGAACTGCCTGATCTTCTGCTTTCTTGCTTTGCTGGTTTCTTCTCCCCTGACCAGAAATTGGCCAAATTGGCTTGTTCGCACTCGGTGGTATTTGTATGTTTTCACGGGAGCACGTGAAGCTAAAACAAATGAAGAGTATATTCTCTTGCAAGTATAGTGAAATCAGAGGCGTGTCACGCGTCAGGATTCCTTGCCGAAAGCAGTAATGGTTATGGGCCTCATTCCCCTGAACCTGATGGGACCACCAACAGGGCGGCGTTGGTTGGGACCGCTCGGTCGAGGCTGCTGAAATTTAGGGTCAACGGAAAATTGAGTCGCCCAGGACTTGGATGACATCGGTACTTTTATATTTACAATTTAGTGCAATCGTTCGTGCGTATCACGGTAATCTCTATTTTGTTAAAGACGAACTACACGCTCACTGCGAATAGGGAAGTTCCTTCCTTGTGCGAGGGTTAATGCGTCCGCAATTGTAGCAACGCCCGTTTCCCGCTCAAAAGTGCTTGGGAACAGGCTGCAGGGTACTGTTACCCTAGTCCCGCTTCTAGACCCCGCCCGCACTGTCCTCAACGTGCATCCCCTGCATCGATACCCGAGTCTTGCATGGAAATACGTACTCAGCTGTAGAGAACAACAAGAAGTGAGAAGGCGCACACAAGTAAGGCGTTTGGCTACAATTAAAGACAGCTCCCGCGATAAAAGTGTC